TGTCTTTTTGAGATAGGGTCTCCCTGTAGTCCCAGCTGACCTGAACTCACTATGTAGACCAGGCTGGCCTTGAACTCACAAGGATCCACCTGCCTCTGCCTCCTGAGTGCTGGGATTAAAGGCGTGCGCCACCATGCCCAGCTTCTTTGTGAGGTTTTAAATGTTGCTTAATAGATGTTTCTACCACCGTTAATTAGCAGCTTCAAGATGGTATTTGTGCTGTTGGTTAGAGTCCATTAGGTGTTGGAGGGATTTTATCAGGATTTTCCCCCAAAATTCTGTAATGAGGATTAATTCTATTACAGGTGGTGGTCTCATGTCTGCTAGTTTCTACATCCTGTCTCTAGATGATTCTTGGGTACAGGGCATTTCAAAGAAATGTTTCTGTTCACAAATTCATGTGTTTTTATACAGCCAGTTTTTTTCTGTAAAGGGATATGCTGGGGAGTGTTCATAAATGATTGTGCCACAGTGTGCACATGCTAAGGACTGAGTAATGTTTGTCTAAGAAGGAAGTTTTCTCAAACAGATCTTCTTTTTGTTTTTTGTTTTTTTAATATTTTTTATTTTTATGTGTGTGAGTGTATTGCCTGCATGTGTGTAAGTGCACCCATGTCATGCAATGCCCATGGAGGTCAGAAGGTTTCAGATCCCTGGAACTGAATTTACGGAGGGTTGTTAACTGCCATGTGGGTGCTGGGAATCGAACCTGGGTCCTCTGAAGAGCAGTCATTGCTCTTAACCACTGAGCCATCTCTCCAGCCCCAGCAAACAGATCTTATTTTGGAGGCTCACAATGCTTATTTGCATGTTAAAGGCATTGAAGAATCCTTGAATACATGCATTCTTTGTATAACTTCTCAGACTATGATGTTATAAGTAAGACTGCTTCCTGAGAGGTTAATGGTACTTTGTGATTAATTTCTCTTAAAAATTTTATTTTTTGATGTGTGATGTATGTGAGTATGGATACATATGTGTCATGGCAGATCTGTGGAGGTCAGAGGGCAACATTCAGGAGTCATTTCTCTCTTTTCCACTCTATGTTCCAGGGATCAAGCTAAGATCATCACACTTGCCCGGCAAGTGCTTTTACCTGCTGAGCCATCTCGCTTGCCCACGATTCATTTCATGATAGAATTTAGTTTCAAAACACTATTCTAAGCTTCTCATTGAAGCGATAAAGAACTTTTATGAAGTCAGGTTCTTGGGTTTGATAAAAACTTTTAAAGTATGGTAGTATTTCAAAATATTATACTCTGATTACAATGTTTTGGCAACTTAGAAGTTGAAAATAATCTGATTATTTCTTGTATGTTAAGTGTCTTTAATTCCTTGTGTATGTGTTTTTGGAAGTAAAAATTCACATAGAATTTGGAATGACAAATATTCACTGATTTCTGGTTTGAAAAGAACTCAGAAGCTCGGCAAATCCTCTAAACCCACCCACACAGGCTCCCTGATTTTGCACATAGAATGTTGCTTTGTTCTTCTGGGATAGTTCCCTAGTTTTTGAGACAGGGTCTCCCTGTAGTCCTAGCTGGCCTAGAACTCTACGTAGAACAGGCTGTCCTCGAACTCACAGAGATCCGCCTACCTCTGCCTCCCAAGTGCTGGGATTAAAGGCATGCGCCACCACGCCCGACATTACTGTTTCTAAGTTTTATAGCATGTAATTTAGTGCCTGAATTATGACAAGATAAATATCTTTTTATTTTATAGCTATCTTAATTTTTTTAATATGTCAAGTATTACCTCTATTATTAATCATATTTTTTTATCTCAATGGTAATGTTTTTCACATCTACTAATTAACATGAAGTGCTATCTTAATTTTTAATAAATTCTTTCATTAGAAAAATAGTTTCAAATTTAGTTAAACATTTCAAATTCTTGTAGGTCTGCTTCTAGATACTCCATAGAAAGACAGATGTCGCAGGATTTGGCTGCTGCTGGCAAGAAAAGTAAAGAATTTCATCCAGTGTTTGAACATCTTGACTCAACTCAGAATACTGAAAACAAACCTAAAGAATTTGCTGAGGAAATCGTAACAATAGTCCATCAAGTTAAAGGTTGGTATATTTTACACAAACATTAAGGATAGCACAAAAATAGTGTTCTTACTTATCACAAGATACAAATACCTGTGATCTAGTTTAATAGGAAATCTGTTGGATTTCCTCAAGCCTCGTTCTTTTTATGTATTTTCCAATAACTTTCTGCTTCAGTTGCTAGTGGTTTAGAAATCATTAGAAAGGAGAGCAGCCTACTCCAAGACATAGGCATATTGAGTACAGTGAGAAGCAGTAACTGGTAGCCTAACAAGGAGGAAGAAGCAACAAAAATAGACATGAAACCCAAACAATCCAGAAGTCTAGGTTATCTTGTTACATTATCAAAAGCCCCTGAGGGCCTTCCTGGGACTTTGTGCCACAAGGATGTTGCTATGTGACCAATGGAAAATTCCATATTTTATGACTTCAGAGAGTTGCATAATTAGTACTTTAAAGTTTTACATTAATTTGCTTTTAACTTTTGACAGGTTTATATTCACTGGAAAATTAGTGATGTAAAACAGCTTTCCCAGTGATGCTGCGTAACTTAGGCAATTGTCGATATTATAAACTACAGGTTTTTAAGAATTTCACATTTTTATTTTATACTTCTTAGTACATAATTGCATTAATCTTTTCTACCTTCATGAAACACATTTCAAAAACTAATTATTTTCTCTGCCACCCCTTAAGCTAAGGCATGTATTTTCTTTAAAGAAGATAGTTTGGAGCTGGGGCTTTATTTAGCTTGGTATTAAAGCTCTTTTCCTAGCATTTGCAAGAACTTGAATTTGATCCCCCAGACTACAGAAAATATGAGTAAAAAATTAAGTATACAGTTTGTCAGAGCCTTAGCTCCAACCCTGCTTACTCAAAGGAAGTATGATTGTTTGCAGAAAGAAAGCTAGAGTTACAGAAAAATACAGGACATTGTTCCAGAGCAGGACTAGTAAGAGAAAGGCTTGCTTGCATAGCATTCTGACAGATTAAGTCTATTCTCCTTTCTGTCGAATTAAGAGCTTATAACGTAGCCAATTTCAAAATGTCTTTGTGAGTTCCAGTTAATGTTAAAGTGAAATGGTATTGGAAGACTTTCTGTTTGTTCAGAGGTTATTTTGTTTGGCTTCTTTATTGATTTAATTTTTCCTCTTGTTGAACTGTAGAGATCTGCTCCATCCTTACTTTCCAGATAGAGTCTTTCTTATCTTGGAGAAGAAAGGCTCTCACTTTAAGAATGTCACTATTCAGGATGTCACTATTCAGGATAAGAGAGCATGTATGGCAGATAAGAAGATTAAACCCTTGGTTTCATAAATGAAGTGTTTTTTTTTTTTTAATTCTTGTCCCTTGGTTTCATAAATGAAGTTTTTTTTTTTTTTTTTAATTCTTGCTTAGGTTAGGAAAAGCACACAGCAATACAAATTAATATGCAAACTAAGTTTAGGTCCCATTTATTTTCAAAAGGGAGCAAATTATAGTGATCTCTTCTGCTTACATGTAATCCTTTAAGTAGAATCAGTTTCACATCAACATAAAACTGTTTCCTTCTTCAGAAACTTGTTTTTCACCATCTGACCTTACTCTACATGAGCGTTTTACAAAAGTGAATGACATACATGATAAGGATGCAGATGAAATGAAATTGGATTCAGATCCAGAATTTCACAGGTAATGATTAATTACTATATTCCTATTTGACTCATGAGCATAAACCTCAGAATGGATTGGGAAAGGTACAGGTTCCTGACCTTACTCCCTTGGACTCGCTGTAGACTCTGAGTGTATTTTGTACATAAAAACAAGACCAATCCAAGCAACTGCTGGATCAGTGCACATTGCAGAAATAAGTTGCATTGAAATCAGTGACATTACATGAATATGTGAGACTTTGGAAAATATTTACTTACATAACTTTAATTCTACTGTGTCTATAGTAGTGGTCTCCAGAAGTTATTGGTAAAGGGATGACAGTTGAAATTACACATTGTTTCAAGTGGTGGAGGGTACCACATTCTGAGGGCTGCAGGATGAAAATAAGTCTTCTGCTGGCACTTAGCAGAGCAGGTGATGCTCTCTATCTTGTGAGCTGAGCTGAATCAATGTTGGAATGCAGTATGTCACCAAAACAAAGCTTGCAGTTATACAGACTACTGATTTGAGAGCCACCAAAACGTTCCTATAATGTGGTTCACAGGATATCTATATACTAGGCCATATAGGTGAAAACATTCCCAATAGCAGGTTTTTATTGCTTTCTCCAAGGCATGCCATTTGATTTCAAATTCCATTCTATACTAGTAGAATCAGTGCATAACATTGTGATTATTTTTGTCCTTTTATTATTTTAGAAGAATAGATATGCCTTTGGACGATCTTCAGAGTAAACAAACTGTGGCACATGAATCATCAGAGGGGGTAAGTGAATACAGTTTTTGATAAGAGATTATCTTATTGTTAGTATACTAATGGGAAAACGGGTATGTGATGGGGAGTCCTAAAAGAAGTTCAAAGTTCAGGAAGAAACTTTGACACCGAGAAATCTGAAATTTTAAAAAAGTTCTCCAAGTGACTGATTATGTAGTCCAGGTTGGAATGAGAATACTGAGAGAAGGCAAAAAAAAATATTCTCTAAGAGGGACAGTCCTTTAGGATAATAGCTTTGAAAAATTGATCACAATGCTCTACAGTGTAAAGCTCGTAGAAAATCTGGTCCTTACCTGTTTTTCCAGAGCTTACATTTTTAAAGCTATATGTGGAATAAGTGCAGAGGAAACTGTTCCATTTGGTAATGCTTTTCTGTTTACTATTGAATGTATGAAAGAGTTTGTGGAATATGAACTAGCAAAATAAAGGAAATAATACTGAATTTCTTTATTATCATGTATTTTATGTGGTTCTTAGCCAACAACTCCTCTCCCACCTCCTATTTCTTTAGTAATTAGAAGGACTGTCTTCACTAGCTGGGTTGGAAGAAAACTGGCTTTTGTTTTGAAAGTATGATAGATTCTAAAAGAATTGCTAATTTAGCCATTGAGAATAATGTTTTTGTAGGGAAGAGATTTTAATATATTTCTGATAGAATATGTAAATAATGTTTCATTTGTGAAATGACTAGTTATTCTTAATATAGATAGGTCAGTTCACTGAGTGATATTTTCTTTAAAAAGTTTGAATTATCTTTGTAGTTAATCTACAGGAAATTACTAGACTTTAAGAATCATCTATAATTCCTGTAGTCTTACATGCTGCATTTTAGCACTCTACCATAATGTATATAGTTCATATGCTTTTTTCTTAATCTGTAACATTCTTTTTATGGAAAAGTTCTAAATTCCCCATGACCTTTTATGATTGAATACTTAAAGTTTTGATTAACTTTTCAATAACTGGTTTTCCATATTGACTTCTACATAGCATTTATTAATTTTAATGGTTGTATATTATTATTTGATTTATTTACAATAGCTTGTTAAATCAGTCTTTCCCTTGAAATTCTTTTTACATTTAAGTTTCTTCTTTCTTTGTTATTTTAAATACAGTATTTTAAATATTTATATAGATGCAACAGTTTTCTTTGGTATTAAATCCCAGAAGTAGGATTCCTGATTCATTGTTAAGAACTTTTCTGTCTATTGTCAAATACATTACAGACTATTTTTATCGGTTTACACTACCATTAGTAGGATGAGTATAAAATAACAGATATAGGACTTTTTATAAAGGTTCTTGTTAGATACCGTCTTTATGCAACTAACAGTAATGTGAATGGTTTGTCTTCTGTCAAAATTCCTCAGACTCTGGTCAAAATAATAGATCCAAATGACCTACGACATGACATTGAAAGGAGGAGAAAAGAACGGTTACAGAATGAAGATGAGCACATTTTTCCCGTAGCTAGTGCAACAGAGAGGTAATCAGTAGATGAAATACATCATGTTAGGAGGGAGCTTTTGTTTTCAGTATTTTTTAAAGTCGTGTGTGATAAATTGAATTTTAGTCTAGGGATTTGATCCTTCAAATCCATTGTATATGTTTATTAAGATGTTTTAGCTTTTCAGTGATCATCACATGAAGCTTGATTTAAACAACAAAAAACTTGTTGAGTAGGTAAATGTTTGAGGCCTTCATAATTCTAGAGAAGGGTGTATAGCTGTTTGAATAGCAGCAGGAGCCAGGACTGCCAATTCTTTGGGCTATTTAACCTAAGCACATTGAAACTAGTATGTTTTGCCTCTTAGATTCTAAATTAGTCTGAACTAGTACAAACTTTCCTGAGATCAGTACTGTTCTCTCTCAGGACCTTTCATGAATATCTGTCTATGAAATAGGCATTTATAGTAGAAAATACAGAAGAGACCTTAATTTGAATCTTGTTAACTCTGCCCTTTTTACAAACATATGGTAAACAAATTATCAGACTCCTCAGAGAGTCTCTATATGATAATGATAAACCCATCTTACTGTGTTAGGCAGCTCTACTATTAAGTGCACATTAGAAGTACATATGCCATGTGTGCCTGGCAAATAGATAATCATTACGTCAGTTTTCTTTCCCAATCTCATAACTCTTTCCAGGGGTCCTTAGTCATCTAGATTGGCCTCAGTTCTGAGAACTAGCAGGACCCATGCAACTACATGAATCCAAATGACTATGAGGAATAATTGAACGAGGCAAAATTTGTAGTTTGACCAAGTTTGACACAATTTGAATCTCTCAGAAGCAGGAATATGAATAGGAGGAGCAGTGCTAATTGTTGTTTTATAGACCTTAGTGTCAAATTTTAAAACATTTAAAATATTTGACTAGATTTTTAAATTATGTCCAAACCTAAATAGAACACATGGGACTTGTGTAAAACTGGACTTGATTTTGACAATAGGTTTTAGTCTGATTAAAAGATAGTGTAACAGTTGGGAAAAAAAAGTAAGAATCTTGTCCCTTGGTGGGTGAAAACCACCAATTTTCTAATATGATGTGCTAATACAAGCTGCCTGTCAGATGTATGTTTTTTACCCAGAAAGCTTAAGCAACACAATGCACCAAGAAACAGAACTTTTCAAACATTTACACTGATAAACCATGTCAGAAAAGCTATAAATGCTTCAGAGTATCTTTTCCCTTTGAGATGACTAGAGCTTGAAAACTGAAGTTCACCTGAGTTCAGTGCCCAGTTCTTAAAATCCTAGCTATGCAAATGATTCAGTGTACGTTACCTAGGCTCCGCTTCCTCATCTATTACATGGTACTGAAGAATATGCTTACCTCAAACTGGTGGTCGAGAGAAAGTAAAAGAATCAGTATAGTGTAGGTGATTAACATTAAATTCACTGATGTTACCCTTGAGGACAATGTTGTAGCATGCAAAAGTACTTGGTCTCTTGGGTTTTATTTGTATTGGATAGTTGATACGGCATGTGGACCCATGAGAGTTTTTAAAAATTGCAGTATTTTTTACATAAAATTCACCCCTTATAAGTAACAAGTCAGTTGTTTTTAGTATAATCACAGAATTATATAAACATCATCTATCCCAAAATATTATTACTCCAGAAGAAAACTGAACCCAGCTGTGACTCTAGTTTTTCCTTCTTCCTGTTCCTGGCAAGCACTGCTGTACATTCTCTGTAGATTTGCCTGTTCTTAACATTTCATATCAATGCTATCATGTGATGTTTGGCTTTTTGTGATTTACTCTTTCATGTAGCGTGTATTCAGAGTTCATCCATGCTGTAGCACCAGGATTTCTTTTTATGGCTGAATAATACTCCATTGTATGGATGTGCCATATATTGTTTATCCATTTATCAGTTAATGGAGTTTTGGTTTGTTTCTACTTTTTCGCTACTGCAAATAAATAGTGCTTTAAACATTTGTGTGCAAGCTTTTGTGTGGTCATATCTTCATTTTTATTTAATATATACCTACACATAGAATTTATGAGTTAGATAGCAACTGCCAAACTGTTTTCCAAAGTGATTTGCTGCATCATTTTATACTCTGCCAACATCGTGTGAGGGATCCAGTGTCTTCATGTCTTTACCAAAACCTGAGGGCTTTTTTTAATGTTATAGGGGCCAGTGAGATAGCTCAGTGGGTTAAGGCAACTGTTGACAAGCCTGACAACCTGGGTTCAGTCTCCAGAACCCACGTGTTTGAGGGAGAGAACTGACTCCCACAAGTTGCCCTCTGACTGCTACATATGCACCATGGCACATATGCCCATACTTAAACATGCGTGTATACACACACACACCCTAAATAAAAATAAAATAACATTTTAAGTGATGTAGAACTGTTCATTTTTTACTCTTAGTTCAATTTCATTATTAAAATAAATTTTATTTTATCCTTTTATTTTAGAAATTTAGTTTGTCAAAATTGATCTCATTCTTACATAATCTTTTAAGTAATTTCAGTGTAGAGAAGTTCATATAAAGCATAATATAGTCATAATCATAGGATGTAATGATTTCCTCCATGAGGCTTCAATTGAAGCATAAGTTGTATGCAGGCTCAGTGTTTCTATTTGCCTACCAGTGATTGTATCCCCATTGCTTTGAGCCCAGCCCATATTCATTGAATGAATGAAGACTTTACAGGACAAGGGGTACTGTAGTTGAAATGTGTTTCTATCTGGATTAATATTCTCTAATGCCTTCGGATATGTTGCCAGCAAGCCTAATTCTTGGGGACTCCGTCCAGTCTCTAAGACCTTGCTGTTCTCTGTTGGCTCCCCCTTCTGACCAGTCTCTTACTTTGATGTTTCCAGGAAACACTCTGATATTTCCAGGTGTTCTGACATACTATATTGCTTTCTTCTAACCAGTGTTACTAAGTCCCTTGCAATATTAATTGAGATGTGCTGCATAGGTATGGGCTGTGTGTGATTAACTAGCTTAAAAATAGTATCAACGGGGGGCTGGAGAGATGACTCAGTGGTTAAGAGCACTGGCTGCTCTTCGGAAGACCCAGGTTTGATTCCCAGCAGCCACACAATGGCTAGCAACCATCTGTAACTCCAGTTCCAGGGGATCCAATGCCCTTTTCTGACCTCCTTGGGCATTGCACAACATGGGTGCACACACCTACATGCAGGCATTACACTCATATACATAAAATAAAAATACTTTCTAAAAATAATAGCAATGAATTTCAAAAAGACATCACACTGCCTAGACTTTATTACTATAAGCATCTTATAAGAAAATATTTTTATTCATGCAATTTTAAGAATATAATCTATACCAAACTAGAATGAACTTTATACAGTTTTTTTCATATATGCAACAAAAACATTTATGTTCATTTCTTTCTTCTATGCACTGTGGATACAGTGAAAAACTACATAAAGCTCTTATCTTCTTGTCACTTGGAATTTAATGGTATGCAAAGAAAATAATTGTCAATGGAATGATAGGTTAAAAAATAAGGCAGAGGCGGAAATTTAGTAGGAAGAGTGATACGTGATTTTTAAAATATTAGTGGACATATGAATTGATTGAAGAAGTTAACCAGCCACAGGGTTACCTTTGAGTATATTTCAAAGTAGGGAACAGCAAATTCAAAGATATAAGGCCGGAAGCATGGCTGTTCTAAATTAAGGACTAGAATTAAGTCTCGTGTGGTTGCAATATAGTAGAAAAGGAGAAAGGGGCTAGAGAGATGGCTTGGTGGGTTAAAGAATTTGCCAAACAAGCCTGACTGACAACTTGGGTTCAGATCCCCAGGATAATCACAGAAAGTTTATGGGCTACTTTATGAACAACAGGATCCCCTGTCTCAAACAAAGTGGAAGATGAAGCCCAACAACCAAGGTTTTCCTCTGACCTGCATACATGTGGTGTGACACATGTGTATCTGTACCTACATCACATACTACACCACATAGAAAAGGATGAATGTAGATGAGGCCAAATATGAAGGACTTGGAAATACATGAAGACTATTTTACACTGAGTGAAATTGGATACTTTCGAGATTCTAACTAAAGAAAAGGCATAGCCTCCTTTAAATTGTTTGTTTGAAACAGGGTGTCTCTGTAGCCTCACTATGTCGACCAGGCTGGCCTCAGTCTTACAGAGATACACCTGCCTCTGCCTCCAAAATTCTGGGATTAAAGGCATACACTACCACACCCAGTCTATTCGCCTTTAAATTTTAAAAGGATCACTATGGTTGCTGGGTAGAGAATGGACTGTAAACATTACAAGGAAAAAAAAATAAGAGTCACTCTGTTTTTTTCACTTGGCATAATGCTTTTTAAATTTCATCCATGTTATGTCTGTGTCATGTGTCAGAGCTGAACAGTCTGTTGGCTGGATATACCACATTGTGTTTTTCTGTTTATGAACGTTGGTGTTGTTTCCACCTTTTGCCTATTATAAGTAGTATTGGTTATGAGCCCTGAGTGTACCGTCTTTTCTATTGTAGTCATTCTATTCTAGTGGGTGTAAGATGGTGTCTTATTGTGGTTTTTGTTTGTTTTGGTCTTTTTTGAGACAGGATCTCTTTGTAGTCCCAGCTGGCCTGGAACTCGCTGTGTAGAACAGGGTGGCCTTGATCTCACAGAGATCCTCCTGCCTCTGCCTTCCAAGTGCTAGAATGAAAGTGTGCACCACCATGCCTGGCTCTTTGTGGTTTTGATTGGCATGTCCCTAATGAAGAATGATGTTGAACGTCTTTTTATATGCTTACTGGACATCCTTTGCCTATTTTTTAAAATATTTTATTTTTATTTTATTTGTATGAGTGTATTGCCTGCATGTATGTGAGTGCACCCGTGTTGTGCAATGCCACAGAGGTCAGAAGAGTGTTTCAGATTCCCCTGGAACTGGAGTTAAGGACAGTTTGTAGCCGCCATGTGGGTGCTGGGAATCGAACCCGGGTCCTCTGCAAGACCAGTCAGTGTTCTTAACCACTGAGCCATCTCTCCAGCCTC